TATTATATTAAAATGTTTTATTATAATTATGTAACAAACTAAAGAAAAACTATGTAAATACCATATAATAAAGTTATATGGATACTATAAAACATTGCCATATATCAATGATATATCATTGTTCCATTGTAGATATATAACATTGTTATATGGCTGAAACATAAGGGGGATAAAAATATAACAAGAGGGGAACATATTTATATAAATGTTATATTACTATGTTTTATCATAATTATGTAACAAAATAAAGAACTAATATGTAAATGTTATGTAAACAATTTTATATGGCAATGTTCTTTGTTAGTTATATCATGGCTATGTAAATGGAACAGCCTGGTTTAATGGGTAAGTTAACTTACCCATTAAACCAGGCTGTTCCAATAAATAATTATTTTGTTTAAAGTATCTTAGAAAAGTAACTAGATACTTTTCAGAAGTAACTTTTCCAGCTCTGTATACAGTTTGTGTGCTACTCACCCCTGTAAAATCTTTATTTATTGGGCGATTTTAACCGGATTTGTTTTAAAGTGTAGATCTTGATAAACTGTATTTTTGGAGCAAAAAACTCAAAATACAAGGCCTACTATGTCAGTTTTTAAGAGTAAATTTTTAAGAATTCATATTAGCAGGTTTTTTTAACAAAATCTAAACCCGGCACTAGATTCACCACCCCTCAAAACGACCCTTTACTAAATTTTATTGAAAATTTTTAAGTAGAAAAATGCACAATAATATCTAAAAAAATTTATTCTGTCAAGTTATCCACGAAAAAAACATTGAAATAAAATTAAACTAATAGTAACATGGTACTATTACTATAGGTTTAATTTTATTTCAATGTTTTTTCATGGATAACTTGACAGAATAATTTTTTTTAGTTTAGCACCGGGTTTAGATTTTGTTTAAAAAACTAATATGAATTTTTAAAAATTTACTCTTAAAAACTGACATAGTAGGCCTTGTATTTTGTACAAATATGGCGTTTTTTGCTTTAATTTTGTTTAAAAAAATTACTAATATGAATTCTTAAAAATTTACTCTTAAAAACTGACATAGTAGGCCTTATATTTTGTAAAAATATAACAATTTTTGTTCCAAAAATACAGTTTATCAAGGTCTACCTATACTTTAAAACAAATCCGGTTAAAATCGCACAATAAATAAAGATTTTACAGGGGTGAGTCGCAAACAAAGGTGTAAATAATTTTTTTGCCTAACTCAGCTTTTTCAATCTTATACCTTCGGCTTTGTTTCGATTTTTTTAAATTTAAAATATAGCATTTTAAATAATTTTTTTCCATAACTCAGCTTCTTCAAGCTTTGTTTCAATTTTTTTTGTGGCCATAAGATGTCTATGAAAATCTATATTATTTTTCAAAAACTGTTGAACGCACTCTGATATGTGATCTCTCTCTTTTCCTCCTCCTCCGTTGTTGTTGTTGAGAGAGATCAATACAAACGCACTCTGATATGTGATCTCTCTCTTTTTCCTCCTCCTCCGTTGTTGTTGTTGAGAGAGATCACATATCAGAGTGCGTTTGTATTGCTCTGGTCTAACAATATTTCTTTGTTTTTGATAATTACATTATAAAATTTGATACATTTGTTTTTCAATGTTTTAAGCTGAATTATGTATGTTCACTTTTAGTTTTAGTTTAAGTTTTAGGTACCATGTAAGTAATTTTTTTTCTGTAAACCTCTGTGATTTATTATATGAATGTCCAGTTTTGGTGTAAACTGTTGGGCAATAAAGTTTATATTATTATTATTATTATTATTATTATTCCCCTTTTGATTAACCCCAAATAGCATCTTACTAGGTGTTTCTTTTGTACTTTTATTAACAGTATTATTAAATACAAATTCTGCAGTTGTTAAAACTTTATTCCACTCATCTGGAGCATTCGTTAGTTTTGCTAACATAGGGCCCAAAGTTCTATTCTGCAGTTCTACTTGACCATTTGCCCTAGCGACTCCTGTTGCAATCAATGTGTTGTAAGAAGTCTTTAAAATTTATTTATGTAAAAGCAGAACCTCTATCAGAGATGATCTTAAATGCCTTCACTTCTTTGTGGTTTGTAGTTTGACATGCATACAGCTTTATAAATTTTGCAAATCCGTCTACAACTAAAAATATATATTTATCTCCATCTTTACATTTTTCTAATGTTCCATAATCATCAGTATGTATGGTATGGGTATATGGGTATATTATTTAAGAATCCTTCTTGTTTTCCATAACTTGGAGTAAATGTAATGCATTTCAAACATTTCTCAATACATTTTTTAACCTTCTCATTCGCATTAGGAAAATAGTTTGAGCAATAAGTTTACATGTTTTCTCAGGTCCTACATTTCCATAATTTTCATGATAATTTCTTATTACATTGTTTTCCATAAGTGAGGGCACATAAAATAATAACTGGTTTTTATTATTTTTTCGGTAAACCAACCCATTTTTCATCTCACACAATGGTAATTGCTGTCTTTCTACTCTCATCCTTTTGTTGCTTAATTTCCAATGTTTCTTCAAAAGTTTTTTCTCTAACATCAAGATATTAAAACCTGTGCTTAGCGCATCTACATGCTTCATTTGTTGATTAGATCGATGTTCAACTGTGTAGTCGTAATCTTGAAGTAATAGAGCCCATCTCATTATCCTCGGGACAATATCCTTTTTTGCTAACGTAAGTCTCAGACTATCACAGCCTGTGACGATTTTAAAATTCCTTCCTTGCAGATAAATGTGGAATCTTTTAATTGCATAAATAACAGCCAAACATTCGAGCTCATAACTGTGGCTTTCGACATCAATTGTTCGTTTCGAAAAGAAAAATACAGGGTGAAACTTCCCATCATGTAGTTGTAGTAATATGGCTCCAAAGCCATGAGAGCTTGCGTCACAATGGGATTCTGTAATTCCAGTGGGCGAATAAATGCTTAAAACTGGTTGACTAAGAATTAATCCCTTTAATTTTTCAAAAGTTTCTAGTTTCTTCGTGCCAAATTTAAATTTTGAATCCTTGCGTAACATATCTTACAGCGGGTTAACTATTACTGAAAAATTTTGAATAAACTAACGGAAATAAGATACCATACCTATAAAACTATGCAATTCTTTCTAATTATTTGGGATAGGGAACTCTTTTACAGCCTTTAGTTTAAACTAGGACTTATTCCTTTTTCATTTACTACATATATATGTCCTAGGATATCCTAAATAATCAATTTTTTCATATAGGAAAGAACATTTATCTAATCTAAGTTTTAACAGGTTATTATTACACAAAACAAGAATTTCTTTTAGAATTTATTAATTATCTTCAATGGTTTCAGTTGATACTAAAATATCATCCATGTAAATTAGCACTCAATCAATTTCTTAAATATCTGATAAACAAATATCATAAAGTTGCTCGGACTGTTACAAAATCCAAATGGGGCTTTAATTAATTCGAATTTACCATTGGAAGTCACAAAACGAAAGAAACTTTGTACATGCAGGGTCAACTGGTACGTGTTAAAAAACGTTTTTTAGCCTCGTAAAATATTTCTTATTTCTTAACAAGTCAATTTGATCCTCAATGATCGGTAATGGAAAATTTTCTCTTAACACATTTTTGTTTAATTCTCTTAAATCGATACACATTCGATTACTACCGTTTTTTTCTTAACTAAAACAACTCTAGAGGCATATTCTGAAGTACTTGGCTTAATTACACCATTACTAAGTAAATCGTCAGTGATTTTATTAATTTCAATTTTCTCCTGAAAAATGCCGCGGTCTATAATAAAACGGTACTGAGTTTGGCTTAAGGACTACTTTCATACTAAAATTAACATTTGGTGGTGTGGGATTAAAATAATAAGTCTCAAGCATTTGGTTAACATCAGAAATTATATCATGATGCAAACAAGAATTTATGTCCAAACAAAAATCATCATTACTTTCAACTGTATCAATCATAAAAATGCTTATTTAATAAAATAAAAATTAAATCAAATTAAAATATCTCCTATGATATTTTTAATACATTTAAAAATTTCTTATTTTTAAGTTTGCGAATTAAAAATAAGTGTTTGGTTTTGTTGGTGCTAATGTGCGGATCGCTCAATGAAAAGTATGAAATATAGATGACTTTTCGACCTAGTAGGGACAAAATTGGATTCCGGTTCTAGAAATATACATGTATTTTTGGACAATATCGCAAGGTTTGACCTTTTAGCGAGATATTTTGTGATATGTACAAAATATTTAGTGGATGTTCCAAGATTGGAAAATTCACGTGTCTATCATAGACAGTCTATGGGTGGATTCGTGAAGCACATGGACGTTAAAACTTGTTGCTGGTCAAAATGGTACATTGAAGACCATTAAGGCTTTTGGCCACCAAGGAAGACGAAGAAAAAGCAAATATTTTAAATTAAATAAATTAAAAATATCAGTTTGACATAAAATTTAAATCTAATTTTGAAAAATCTGCTATGATATTATTAATTCGCAGAATAATTTTTTTTTATCTAATTGAAAATATTAGTCTAGTGTTAACACATAAAAATAATTCCTGAATAAAAAATAAAAGGGCGCCCCATACTAATGTTATAAAATACATAGGATTTAAGTATTATAAACGTTGAAAATATGTGGAATTTATGTAACGTTTTAACTATGTATTTTCCATTTAAAATCATACATTCAAATATAGTTTCTACCGGTGTAGGTACTTAATTAAAATATTTTTGAAATTAATTATAAAGTTCTTACGAAAAACACAAAGTTATAGGTAGTAAAATCAAAATAATGTGATTTATTAAAAATTAATTTCATTGAAGCCTTTTGGGAATCCAATATTAGAAAAAAATAATTTCATTTTTGTTTTTTCCAATACTTAATTAGTAGTAAAAGAAAATTTTGATTTTTTTTGTTCAAAGAGTTTAAGTTTGTCCATATCTTTGATGAATACATAAACCAAATCTATGACCCATTTTCACATTTTTAGAAATGTAATAAACAAACTTATTGCAAAAAGGGAGCATTCAATTCCTATTTATTGTATTTGTAATGAATCTGACAGTAGAAAAATAGTCATTTTGGGAGCACAGCATACAAACAGTGATAAAATGAGCTGTTTTATTGAAATTCTTTCTGGATTATCAAAGAATAAAATGCATTTGAATTTTGATTTTATGAAAAAAGAACATTTTAAAAGTACCAAAATTCAAACAAAGGTATTTGGATATATTATTAAGCCTTTTTCAACATATATTTAAACTAAATTTTAGATTGATTACCTTATAAAAAGAAAATACTATATATATGGTTATAATTTACAAAGTATTGAATTAGATAATACTTTTTATACTGGTTGCATGGCAGTTGAAGTTATTGGTAAAAATTTAAAGGAAAAATTAAATGGTACCCAAAATATGAACATGGTAAGTGGGTAGATTATTATTATTTTTTAATACATTAAAATATTTAGTTTTTTATTTCAAAATCTGGATAAAACAGATAAGTTACAAGCAGATGCAAGTTTCTATCAAATGCTCCATATAAATACATTTATGAGTTTATTCATTGTTAATTTGTTCCGGGAAGTTAGCACAACAAAGTTTGAAAAAAGAAAGAAAAAAAGTGTCATTGCTCGATGAGTGCCCATAATTAACTATCAATAATATTGTTTGCCAATTTCCGCAATAAAAAATACAAAAAAATTCCCATGATTCAGTTTTTTTTTTTTAAGTCAATACTAGAATGAACAAATTATAAATATGTTTTTGCTAAATGCCTTTTAAATAGAGAACTGCCCAATTAAAAAAAATATTCCAAAGTCAAAAAATGCTGAAAAATTCAAAAAGGGGTTTAATTTTTTTTAAAGTTAAATTTTTTTTTTGTGTTTTTGTAAAGTTGTATATTGTAACGTTTTTGTGGTTCGACGGTGTGAATAAAACACGCACTGGTTTATTAACGAACTAAAAGATTTATTTTATAAATTAATTACAATTAAAAACACTAAGAAATTATAAGGCCCTTAACTTAACTACTAATTATTTATATATCACACCTGTACAAGAGTCTATTTATTTCCACGTACATTTATTTTATTATTATATATCCAGTGCGTAAGTGACCCTCCTAACGCAAGCACCTTCCCGGACATTCCACCGAGCTCTATACCGCTCTCGATCGCTCGAACGTTGACTCATCGGCGATGACTCATCGCTACAATATGATTATTTCCTTAATAAAAAATACATAAAATTGAATGAGAATAATGTATGTGACATTTTCAAGGTTCCCATATATACAGGGTGCTAAAGTATCCTATGTGTGGATATCTTTTTTTTGAAGAGCTGTGAAAATTGTAGCTCTTAATATTAATATTTAGAGGTCGCTCATCGTGAATTTCTATTTTACGTTTAAATAACACATGAGGTCTTTTTTCTTAACTTTGAAATTTTATAACTCGTTTTTAAGTGAACATATTGGAATGAACTCTATATATTTTTGAAGAAAATTGAACGTTCTACAAAAAATGTCTATTATAATTTTTTCGTAAATTTACTCCTTTAATAGTTATTCAAGGTTGAAATTAGACATATAATAAATGTAACGTTTAAATAACACAGGAATTTTTTTGTACTTTTATTTTTTTACTTTTTTTTGAGTGGACATATTGGAATAAGCGATAATTTTTTTTAAAGAAACATAAAGTTTAGAATTATCTTTGTAATTAAATCATGTATTTCCTGTTTGTGGGGATTATTAACTGCTTCCGGTCTTCTCCCTTTCTGAAGTCTCCAGAACGCGCTTTAGAAGTCCGTTATTTAAGATGATGGAAAATTGGGCGACTTCCTGCCACGTTGGTTTGCGGTCGTTCTTCTTCCAGTCGATGATGGGCTTCAAATCTGGGTCCCCTTCCTGGTCTTGTTGAACCTCATCGGACTGCCAATGATCATCCACAAGTGTAGTCCTGCGAATAAACACATCCTTTTCTTCGGCCTTGAGACAATGTTTACAGTCTTTTTACGGTCTTCTTGACAAGGCGTCAGCATTTCTATGGTTCTGGTTTGGATAAAGTTTTACTAAAGTATCCAATAACTTTCTATTTTCCCTCTTGAATCTGCGATAAAACAGCTCCCAGTCCCACATTGCTGGTGTCCGTGCCCAAAATAAATCCACCATCCGGAAGAGGATAACTCAGGACTGGTGAGCTTGTCAACGCGTTTTTCAGGTTCCTAAAGGCTTCTTGGCACTCGTCGTCCCATTGGAATCGTCTCTCTCCCTCTGTCAAACGTAAAAATGTACCGACGGTAATAGGTGCCTACTCCAAGAAAGCTTCTTAAATCATGTTTGTTCTTTGGTATTGGCCATTCCCGCACCGTCTTTACCTTCTGTTTGTCCACTGCCACTCCTTGACTTGAAACGACATGGTCCAGATACTGCACTTCCCTCTGTAACAAGTGACATTTCCTCGGGCTAAGCTTCAGGCCGGAAAAACTTCCTTCAGGTTCATCATATGACCCTCAAATGATTTCCCAACCACAATAATGTCGTCAAGGTACACCAAGCAAATCTTCCAAGATAGTCCCTTCAAAACCATTTCCATAAGCCTTTCAAAAGTTGCAGTGGCATTACATAGTCCAAACGGCATGACATTAAACTGCCACAGTCCAGCACCCAAAATCGACGCAAAATCGAGTGGACCATTCTTTTTTCTTAACTAACTCCACTGGGGAAAACCATGGGCTGTTGGATGGTTCGATCACCCCTCCTTTTTCCATTTCTTACACAATTTTATCAGCTTCCTCTCGCTTGGAAAGTGGCAGACTTCTTGCCGACTGTCGAATGGGCTGTGCATCACCGGTGTTAATTTTATGCTGGACAGTTCTTGTCCTACCCTTCTTTCCTTGTCCGTCGTCAAAGACATCCTGGTAATTGCGTATCAGCTCTCTCAGCTTTATCCTTTCATTGGGTTTCAAATCCTTTGAAGAAGTCAACAGAAGATTCGTCAATTCATTGCTCACTTTCTTGGCCGGGACTGCAGACTCACGAATGCCTCTAATAATCGAGTAAACCGAAGAATAGTTTCCCAAAACGATTCCTATCTTCAAGTTCACAGAGTAACCATTAACATTCAATACTCTTACAGGCACTTCTTTTCCGACACGTATTAAAGTCTTCCCTATTACAATTCCTCCATCGACCTCTTTGTCATCAATCTTCTGATTTACAATCCAAGAAAGCCTTCAGTATCATCTCACTATGTTCCGGTATCAAAGCATCTTCTGTTAGCAGTACACGAATATTCTTCTCTTTCGGTCGATGCAACACGACTTCTTCTCCATTTACCCTCAATATTCCTTGCTTAAAGTTCAGTTCAAATCCTATTCAGTTCATAATGTCCATGCCGACAATAACATCATCTTCAATATCTGCTACTAATAATATAATGCTCGATGTTTAAATTTCGTGTTTCCTATGACCATCGTAATGTCACTTATCCACGAACAGTAGAGGTTTCTCATGTTGCAGTACTTATCTTGGACATTTCGACAATATCTGGCTTAATAATAATTATTGTCTTCGTCGCACCTGTATCCAGCAGCAGCACATGTAACTTTCCATTAATAAAGCCCTACACGGGAATCTATAAATGGCACTACGATTTTCGTATTGTTGATCTTTTTTGGGAGGAAGGAAGGAAGAAAGTAAGGAAGGCAATCTATAAATCAGGCTTTAGGAGTCCGGAAAATAGTCTTTTCGTATCCAAGCACGAATTATTCCCGGGAATCGGGTGGGAAAAGCCTTTACGGACGTTTAATGAACTATATTTTTCATTTCTAGAATAAGTGGAAGAACAACAGCCCTTTAGCAATGTCTTGAACTTCGCCTTTTGTAAAACAAATTTTACAATAAAGCTATTTATTATTATTATACCTTTTTAAAAACAACACATCAATAACTAAAAGTATGTTTTAAATCTGACATTTAATAGTATATTATGTATCAAAAATATTAAAAAAACGTGTGACATCATTTATGGACGGCCCCTTACCCAATTTTTTTAGTAATGTCAATTTTTTAGATAAACAAATTCTGGACCTTTCGAACGATTGTTTACTACTCTACTTAAAATATTGATAGTCTCATTTCTCGGATCGCGTCACATATCATGATTTTAAGTGACCTTAAAAATACAAATACAAATTAATAAAAACATTTTTTTATAAAAAAACTTTCTGGCAATGGCCACCTATTCATTTGGTTTTGAGGCAATTATAAACTTTCGTTTATTGTAAAATTTGTCTCTAGGAACGATCACATGCCTGTTAACATTGCACATAGGTTGTATTAAGAATTAGCCGGTCAAAACTGAAATTTCAAAAGTGCAGTTATAAATATCAAAAAAATCACAGGGGCCCAAGGAATGCCCTAGTAAAAATAATTGACCATCCCCACTCCCAAACCCTTGACAGTGCTCGCGCGCTGTCAGTTGAAACTTGGTAGTCTTACAAAGTGCGCGTCATTGTTTTCAGCGTTTTCAGTGTAAACATTTAAACAACGTGAAATTTTTTAATATCTTCCTAAACTTTTGAGGTGATTGTGATGGATTTAAATAATTCAGGTAAGAATCAATAATTCTTTATATTTTTAAACGATCTTTAACGTTATTTTATATTATTTGTAAAATTTAAAATTTGTATTGAAATGTTTACTTAATTTTCATGTTTATAATACATTTAGTTATATTATTGCCCAATCTTGGGCAATGCTTGTTATTGTATTGTTTACTTCATATAAAGGGTGATTTTTTAAGTGTGTCCGAACTTCTGACAAGTGTCGCTAGCAAACAAACTCTCAGTTTTCATGCATCTAAAAACTGAGTTACTCAGTATAGTCTGACAAATCATCTTGGAACGTTTAACGTCAGATCAACGCTTGCAAATTGTCGAAATATACCATTAAAACCATTGTTCTGTGCGCCAAACTTTTGTGCTCTTCGTGAATTTTATGGTATATATAATCGACAAATTTCGAACGAATTTCACGCTGCTAGATATTAAAATAAAGAAAAGAACAAAAACTGTGCGTTTCCAAGAAAATATCATAGCTGTTGCCAACAGTGTTGAGGAAGACCAAAATTTGTCAATTCGTCGACGTTCGCAGGAAGTTGGGCTTTGTTATTCGACTACGTGGAAAATTTTGCGTAAAGATCTTGGTCTGGTGCCTTACAAGATCCAGCTTGTCCAAGAACTTAAGCCTCAAGACCATCGTTTGCGTCTTATATTCACTGAATGTACTCTCTAAAAATGAATTAGTCAAAAGTAACTAATTTAATAGTATCCCAAAATTTAACAGCCAATTTTTATGTACAATTTTCTCCTGAATCCAAAAAAAGTCGTCAAAAGTTAAAAAAGTGGAACAGTCAATTTTCCATTTAATATGGAATTGACTATATCTCAAAAACTGTTCTACTTTTTTAAATTTTGACGGTATTTTCTGATTCAGAGGAAAATTTTACATAAGAATTGGCTGTTAAATTTTGGGATACCATGGTATTCCATGGTTAACCATGGCACAAGTGAAAAAGCACCCACTATTAACTATTAAATTAGTTACTTTTGACTAATTCATTTTTAGAGAGTACATTAACTGTTATTTAAGGTATAACCATGGGTCGGTTTTCTTTAAAAAAAAAAGTGGAGTGGCTGGGGGTTGCATAGATTCGATTTTTTCACATTTCATCCCAGTTCAAATTGTAAGGTCAAAATTTGTCGCACAGTGTAATTATTTAATACCGAATTTAAACGGTATTGATCTAAGTCATCACATGTCATACAGCCAATGCAACCATAGATTTATTGAGGGAACAATTTGGTGAGAAAATTATTTCGAGGAACGGACCTGTTAACTGGCCCCCGAGGTTGTGTGATTTAACGCCTTTAGATTATTTTCTTTGGAGTTATGTTAAATCTTTGGTATATGCAAATAAACCAGCACCTATTTAAGACTTGGAAGCTAACATAACTCGGACAATTGCGGAAATAAGACCTGAATTGCTTGAAAAAGTGGTCGGAAATTGGATTAAAAGAATGCGCTTTGTTACAAGTAGCCGCGGAGGACATTTGTCTGAAATTATTTTTAAACAATAATGTCATTAAATGTTATTTCATAAAAAAAAATATTTTTAAGATATCCAATTTGGTTGTTAGTTAATTTGATTTTAAAGTTCGGACACTCTAAAAAAATCACCATTTATTAGGATAATTCATGACATAAAATTTTGGTGCGGATAGCTGCGGATGACCAGTTTATATTACAAAACAAAGAAAAACAAATTTTGTTTTAAATGGACTTAAGTGCGATTTTCTTTGTTGTAGGTACACCTGGTAGTTTAGGTACAAAAATAGTGAGCCGTAAATATCTTTATGATCTAATGCAGCAGCAAGATTTGCCTAATTTAGATGAAAAAATTAAATATCTTGAAAATCACCTGTTGGCTTGTTATAGTGACACACCGGATAATCTAAACAGTTTTAAGACAACGATTTTGGAACTTTAAAACATCAATGAAGGAAAATAAAATTAGAGTATATTATTGAGGAGACTTAAAGAATACTTTTTAATACTGTTCACATCATTTAATAAAGCAAAAGCGTAAATTCATGATTTTGGCATAACACGCAAAAAAAATTTATCCCAATTTTTTTTTAGATATTTCTACGTTTATCAGGTTACAAAATGGCATTCTTATTAACCTTTTATAAAAAAATTGATTTTTAATAAAATTAAATAAAATAACGCTTAGAGAATATTTAAAATGATGTTTAATTTAGGCTTTTTAGTAGTTTTCAATTTTGAACGAAAAACTGGTTAAAGTTTTTTGATCGGCACTCTTTGGAGATTTAAAAACGATATTTACCAAAATTCTAACCGCTTTTTTTAAATTTGTTTTTTATTAATTATTTGTTTATCGCAAAGTCTACCTTTGCCAGAGTACACATTTGTACATCGATTTTTATTGATTGCAGTTTCTTGTTCGGGATCCTTTGCTAACTTTAAAATGATATTTACCAAAATCCTAACTGCTCCTCTTTTTAAATTTTTTTGAAAATTTTTAATTTTTTTTTAAATTTTTGTTTATCCTACCTTTGACAGAGCACACATTTGTACACCGATTTTTAAAATATTGGAGTATATTGTTAATGAGACTTGGAGAATACTGTTTTCATACTGAGCACATCATTAGATTTATACAGGGTTAGCCAAAAATCACTTTTTTATATAGTAAAAATTATAATGCACAAAAAAGAATTATCTCCAAAAAATGTTATTTTATTTAATTTTATTCAAAATCAATTTTTCTTATGAAGTCCTAATAAGAATCCCATTTTGTAGCCTGTTAACATAAAAATATCTAAAAAAACATGGGTTGGATATATCTTTTTTGCGTGTTATGCCAAAATCATGAAGTTACGCTTTTGCTTTATTAAAAGAAGCGATTTTTGGCTAACCCTGTATATATTAAATGATGTGCACAGTTTAAAAAAGTATTCTCCAAATCTCCTTAACAATATACTCCAATATTATAAAAATCAGTGTACAAATTTGTACTGTCAAAGGTAGACTTTAAAATAAAACTAAAAAAAAATCATGAATTTTCAAACAAATTCGAAAAGAGGAGCAGCTAGGATTTTGGTAAATATCATTTTTTAGTCACCAAAGGGTCCCGAACAAGAAACTGAAATCAGTTTTTGGCGGCATTTTTATGTAACTTAAACTTCGTTCAGGCACACCGTGCTTGAGAGACGCTATAATATTATAACAAATATAATAGAATTTTTAGCCCAGAAATTCTTCTAAATATGTCAATAAATATCAGCATTGTTTACCCTATGTAGTATGTTTTTAGGTCGGCGAGTAATAGCGCGATTTGACGGATTTGAGACTTTTGCCCACCCAAGGTCATCCGCCATGAGATATTAATAGCAGTTTACCCGGTTATCAATGGACTAGAAGAAATCCTTTCTTCTCTAATACATAATGAAAGGAATTCTTTAAAAATTATATGTAAATGGGTTGTAACGGATACCAACAAGCTCAATATAAACAAAAATTTGACGATGACGCTGCCTCAGACGCAAATATATTCCTAATCTTTTTTGTACCACTTCCAATATATTTCGGCCAACAAGGCAAAAACATAATTTGGAAAAACCCAATACCGTCATCGCCTAGATATTGCAGAACTATACGGTTTAGGTTTGTCAAAGAATCTACTGACGTAACAAAGGAAGAAATCAGTTACGTTGAAGGATCTACTAAGAAATTAAAACCTACTGAAGTAAACATGGTAGTACATTTACGTTTAAACATATTTTTAAGATGACGATGATCGATGGCAAGGTGTGCAACGCGGCAACCGGTACTAAATCAACAAGTCGGTGTTATATATGTGGAGCAACATCTAAAGATTGTAACAATCTGACCCAAAAGTTTAATACAACTCCTAACGCTATTGAGTTTAGACTATTTGTACTACACGCCAGAATTCGATTGTTTGAAAGCGTTTTACACCTGGCTTAAAAATTACCAGTAAAAAAGAATAAAACATATTCAGGAAAGGTTTCAAAAAGAAACAGGACTGTTAGTCGACAAGCCAAAAGCCAATTTCGGGAATACCAATGATGGTAATACTAGCCGAAGATTCTTGAAAACCCCCAATTAACTGCGGACGTAACAAAAGTTGATTTTCAATTAATATATAGATTAAAGTTTATACTGGAAACTATCTCAAGTGGTCATAAGATAAATATCCATCAATTTAATGATTATAACATGGCAACTGCGAAATTTTATGTCGACCAATATTCATGGCACCCAATGACTCTGACCATGCATAAAATATTAATTCATGGCGCAGCTATTATCAAAAACGCCTATTACATTCACATTGGACAGTTGTATGAAGAGGCAACAGAAGCAAGAAATAAGCATTTTCGCTTATATCGCGAAAACTACGCTAGCAAGTTCTCGAGGGAGGAATGCAATATTGATATACATTTAACAGATTATTACTAAGTCAGATCCACTGTTAAGTAGTATAAAAGAAAAAAAAGAACCAAACCAAGATAATTTTGCCCTGAAACAATCAATATGTTCCGAACCGAATACCGAATATTTCAGATACGGATCAAGATTTATCCATAGATGAATAATCAAATATTCTAAAATATGTATTTGCACCTAAATTTATGAATTTATATGTAGAATTTTGTTTGTTTGTAAAAATTGTTTACTTTTAAGATTTTTTCTTGTATTTCTCATTTATTTTTTTTCTTGACATGGAAAACATGCAAATTTTTCCTTACAATAAAATGTATGATTTTAAGTCAAAATACACCCTAAAATAATTTTGACCGCGTAAATCCTTTAAATCAACCTATGTGCATTCTCTTGGACTATTAACTACTAGCCAAAAATATATATTTTTATTTTTTTATAGATGCTTCAAGTAATTGTTGGTCATGTAACATCACCAGTACATTTTCTATGGCAGAAACTTGGCCATTTGCAATATTATTATGACATTCTTAACTTACCAAAATCGTCAATTAATGAATCAACTATTATTAATAAAGAATCCAAAATGGAAGAGGACATTTATAAAGGAATTAGTAACCTTATTAATTCTCTGGAATTTATGCAAAAAGAACAAGATACAGACTTTGATTTGGATAATTTGAGGTATACAGACTTTTTGGATAAAATCTGGGATCTTCTTAAAAGTAAGAATGAAAATTCAATTAATAATTAAATTAACTTAAAATGTTTTTGTTTATTTTTAGATTGTGAGGATTTGTCCACTTTAAGGGACTGTTTTTATTATTTCTTTGGGGAGCTAGCTGAATCTGAAAATAAGTTTGAGGTAATACAAATTATTTTTGTAATTGTAACAATTAAATTGTTATTATTATATACAAGTTTTAATGCAATTATTTGGGTTAAATAATTTTGTCCCTTTAACTTGGTTTTTTAATATTTACATAATATTATACTGTACCGTTTTTAATAAAAAACACGCTAAACAAGATCTTTACAATTGTAATTGCTCCTCTGAGCTTTTAGGGGGGGCAGAAAAATCTACTAAAAATATAGCTGTGCAGTAAGGGTGCAGCATATTTGCATATTAATAACTATCACCAACCCCCTAAAATATTGTGAAATCTATTTTAAACCTCTATAATGTATTAAAATATTTAAACACCAAGTGTTGATTTCACTGTACAAATGTAACTTTCTATGTTATAAACTAGTAATAGTAAACTAAATATTTTATAGATAAGCCCGTCTGATAAATCCAATATTGCCAGAATCGTTAAGGATACTTTAAATATTAAAATAACTGTCCCCACTCTTACTTTTCTACAATGTTTGGAATTGCTATTTGAATTGGGACTTGAAAATCTTAAAAACGATTATTTAGCTATATTTAGACACTTTTGTTTTGCTTCGCAAGATAATATCTTAAAAAATTGGAAGTAAGTAAATCACAAAAATGAATTTTAAAATGTTTAATAATAATAATTTTTAGTAAATTTTGCAATGAAAATTTATCAGATCGGGAATTGGGAAGAAAAACTAGGACAACAATTATGCAAAAAGATGCAATGACTAACAATGAAGCCAATCAATTTAAATTGGGATATTTAGCACAAATGCATACTGCTGTTGAACTTTTATTTTTGGTAAAAAATCGTATTTATTTGCCTGAAGAATGCAATGAAGTTTTTATTGAGAAAGTCTACAACGAATACGTTAACACAAACAATGTTAAAATTGATTCTAACTCCTTAACAAATTGTAGACTGGAGGAATTTACTTTTGGACTTAGATCAATACCAAATTTAGTTGATGAGTAAGTATTGCAGAGACAAATTTTAAACTAATTTTACATTCATAAAACGATTTCAATTAAAAACATAATTATTTAAAAATTAATTGATTATTTGTTATAGAAATTCTCTGGATTCATGTACCGTGCAAATGAAAAGTGTTATCAACAAAACTGAAATTACCACAGCTTTTAATTTATCTGTCTTGCCAATTTTTCCAACATCTGTTTTTAATGGTTATGGTAAGTTGGTATTCTAACTCAAATAATTCAAAGCGCTTGATTACTTATTTATTTTGCAGATGATAATCACAAAATCAAGGAGAACTTTTATGTTTCCAAATTTGTTAAAGTTACAAGGACTAATTAATTATTTAATTTATATAATTAATTTATTTTTATTTGTTAATATTTTATTTTTGTAAAAATTTATATTTAAAAAGTAATATTTTTCATAACTTTATTTTTGTTTCATTTGGCTCTTAAAAAATGGCCAAAAATTGCTTAGAAGAAAATTGATACTTTAAAAACTATATTCAGGGAGAGTTTCTCCACATAAAATCAATAAAAAAAATTCCAAATTCTTTTTAATTTTTCAATGAAGTTTTCATCAATTTTGTTTTAATCCAATTTTAAAACTCTATGATAAGGGTGTATTCTAAACATACAAAAATTTAAAAAAAAACTTAAATATTGTTTTTCGATCTGTCATCTGTCAAATTGACACCTGTGAAAGTTTTGCTTCAAATTATAAAAAAACAATAATTAGAACCCATAGAGCACAAAGTCGTCCATATGGTGTCCATAGGACATCCATCTCTGTACAAATGGATATCCATAGTATGTCCAAGAATATTATATGGACGTTTCAAATAATACATTTTACAGGGAAACCCATTTTTCTTAAATTTAGAATTTCAGCGCCATCTGTTGATAAATTGAAAAAAGTTTTAAATAAAAGTTATTAATTTTTTTATGTACTACCAAAATCTGTGAAAAAATCGGGTCATTCCATTTGACTTTCTAAAGTTACCCCCCGTTTCACCCTTAAGGAGGGGTAGGGGGTGGCTAGCGGTAGCACCAAATAATGTCCCCTTTGGTCACATTAACCTTTTATTTAAGAAATTTTTCTGTGAAATGCGTATTTCACGAGATATTGAGCTGTCTCAAGTTAAAAGAAACACCTATTATAGGTGTATAATAGGTACTAGATGTAACTACTCCACATAGATCCAACCATTTGATTCAAATGCGCAACATTTTCGGCGTAAAAAGTCTTACTTTATTAGTGTGGTCTTGGCACACATTTTTTTTTATTTCCAGTTTAAATTTCTATATAAAAAAATATAAACGAATTCGTATTTCATTCCAAATAATTTTTGTATTTATACTTAGGTACTTTTACCACGAGAGAAACGAGACGAGACGAGAGAAAGGCACTCTCGAGCGAGAAAAGAGTATTCTCGACGAGACGAGAGACCCATTTTCTCTCGCTGCACGAGACGAGACGAGAGAAGGACTTTTCTCGTCTCGTCTCGTCTCGCGGCATCACTAGCCTCAAAGACTGAAAAAGATAAATTAATGTCAGCATACAAGAATAAAAAGGGTCTAAAACGTGAAGAAATTGGCCAAGGGGAAATGAGTCAATTTATCTCAATCATGATATGACTCCGGAAAATCAGATGTTATTTAAACAAGCCAGAAATCTAAAAAATGAATTGAAATTTAAGTTTGCCTGGTTTAACTATGATAAAATAATGCTCCGAGAAAAAGAGGACAGGAAAGTGTTTGAAATCGGCAGCGAAGATATGTTAAATAAAATTAGAAAAACCCACTTGGAAAAAAACTAAAAATGAATTCTGACAACAAACTACTTATACTTTATTTAAATATTCGTAGCATAAGAAATAAGGTTGAGGAAGTTGAAATTCTATTGCAGCAGTATAAACCAGATCTCCTAGTTCTAGCAGAAACATGGCCATATGAGAACGAAGCTCCACACATGAAATTTAATAATTATAGTGGTATACACTCAGCTAGAAGTACAAAAAAAGTCCTCGAGGGGCATCTATTTACGTCAAGGAATGCTATCCATATGAACTTGTTACTAATGAAAATCAGGAAAACAATATACTAGTGCTTAATTTCAAAGATTTTAACTTTAAAATGGGTGTTGTTTATAAGAGGCATGGATCAAAGATTGAAAATTTCTTGGATGACCTTGAAAAAATATTCTGTGAAAATAAAAAACTGTTACTTTTAGATGATTTTAACATAAATTTATTGGAAAAAAAGTCCAACTCGTATCGATATAAAGAAAAAATGATGTATATGAAACTTCTTCATGAAAATGGATTAAATGATTAAAGACGAAAGATGGGGATCTAAAACAATAATAGACCATGTTATTACAGATCTTCCCTTAAAAATTCCACTTAAATTACAAAATCAAAACATCACCGATCATAAAATGATATCCTTCAATATTGATGTAACAAATATTCATTTGAATAAAGAAAAACAAAAATATACATCAAAGATAATAAACTATAAGAATCTGGAAAACAATATAAAAGACTATATTCACAACACAAACATAACAAGTTTTGACCAGCTTATCAAGATGTTGTAGCATTTTAAAAATAATAAATTATAATACTCAATAATTAAGGCCAAGGTCATCTGTTACAGAAGTTATATGTTAACTATAGAACAAAATATTAATAATAACCCGACATCTTTTTGGTCTTTCATAAATTCCAAAAAGGGTTCTTCACGTATCCCAGGTAAGGTCACTTTTAACAACTTGGAGTATAGTCATCCCAAAGATATTGTTAATGCTTTTGCAACCTATTTTAGTAGTGTTTATATAGACTCTGGTGCATTTTCTAATAATAACTATGATATTGTAGATCCCAATTCCTACCAAACAATACATATTTCCAGCATTAAGGAGATTGATATCAGAAATGCCATTAAAAATCTAAAAGACAAAATGACTGCAGGTAATGACAATATTCCCAGTTTTCTTTTGAAGGATTGTTGTGGCGCCTTTTTGACCCCATTATTAATTATTTTTGATAAAATTTTAGAATCGGGAGTCTTTCCAAGCTCATGGAAAATCTCAAAAATAACCCCTGTTTTAAAAAAAGGTAGCAATTCCCAAGTTGAAAATTATCGGCCCATATCAATTATTAATAATTTTGCAAAGATTTTTGAATCAATTATTTACTCAAAAGTATACACTCAAGTTAAGCATCTGCTCTCACCAAGTCAACACGGCTTTATGGAAAAAAGATCAACTTCGTCCAATCTCGTCAGTTTCACACAACTTGCCAGTAAAACCATTGATAATCGCGGGCAGTTGGACGTTGTTTATACCGATTTCCAGAAAGCATTCGATCAAATCGATCATTCAATACTAATAAGTAAGCTTTGTAATTTTGGATTTGATAACACTATTATCCACCTTTTTACATCTTACTTATCACATAGACGGCAGATTGTCGCATTCAATGGATTTTACTCAGATTCTTTTGTATCCACTTCGGGAGTGCCGCAGGGTTCCAATTTGGGTCCCCTACTGTTTCTTTTGTTTATAAATGACCTTCCTAATAAAATCAATTGTTTCAAGCTGTTGTATGCAGATGATCTAAAAATGTATCAGCAGATAAAATGTGTGGGTGATTGCGTAGCCCTACAGGATGACCTAAATAGACCTAATGAATGGTGCATAGAAAACAGATTAAACTTGAATATTTCAAAATGCAAAGTTATGTGCTACACAACCAAGAAGAAACCCATATACTTTAGCTATAAAATTAATGATTTTGCTTTAGAAAGAGTCAGTTCATTTAAAGACCTTGGCGTGGTATTCGATCCCCAACTTGAGTTTGCTTCTCATATCAATGATATTACCAAATCAGCTTTCAGAACACTTGGCTTTATTATTAGAAACAGTAGGGGATTTAACTCAACCCAAACATTGCATTTACTATATTTTACTCTAGTGCGAAGTAAATTGGAATACGCGAGTGTGGTCTGGTCACCTATTTATGCTTGCCACATAAATCATATAGAGTCTGTACAGAGACGCTTTTTAAAGTTTTTATTTTTTAAATTTCAAGGATTCTATCCACCGCAAGGATACGAACACGCTTTGTTGCTAAATTCGTTTAATTTTGTATCTTTATCCAACAGAAGGAAGATCTTGTCAGTGTCTTTTTTGTATAATCTTGTAAATTATAAAATAGATTGTTCTGATCTGTTAGGTCAAATTGATTTTTTGATTCCCAGAACCAGTAGTCGTCAGAACCATACCTTCAAGTGTCCGATTGCTCGTACCAATGTACTTAGTAAATCACCTTTACATGTTATGTTTAATAACTTTAATAAAATATCAACTAATTGCGATATTAACTATTGTTCACTAAACTGCCGTGCTTAATGAAAACGCCGTAACCAACAATTTTGAGATTTTTGTTTTACGGCATTTTCTACTAGAACAATTCATCCTGCGTCTATCCCCTGTACTCAAAAAACCGTATCTATATTTCATATATATTTTTGAGTACCGGGGATAGACGCAGGATGAATTTTTCTAGTAGAAAATGCCGTAAAACAAAAATCTCAAAATTGTTGGTTACGGCGTTTTCATTAAGCACGGCAGTAAAGACTATTCACAGGGCCATTGTAAATTCTAACGATGTATAAATCTGATTGAAAGTTTAGTTATAAGTTTGTTCACATTTTTATTTAATATTTTTTTTTGTAAACCTCTTTGTTATATAATATGAATGTCCTACTATGGTGTAAACTGTTGGGCAATAAACTCTATTATTATTATTATTATTATTATCTGTTGACGTAAAATGGTACTAACGAAAACAATTGCAGTTAACTGTTATTATTGTGAAATATCTATTTTTAATGATTTTGAGATTGTTATAATTATAAAACCCCTCTCTGAGGTTGTTGTTTTGATGTGTTGCGGGCCCAGTGTTGCCAGATGTAAAAGTTGAAATTATCGAATTGGGTTAATAAAATTATCGAATTTTCGGAAAATTATGTTACAATAATTGTAATAATTATGTTACAATAATTATTATAATTTAATCATAAAAAAGTGAAATAAACAGGGTTAAAAATATTATCGAGTTTTTAGAAAATTATAAAAGTTAAAAATAGTATAAAGCTGAATTTATAGTTCAGAAAGTAGCGGTAGCGGTAATGGCGGCCCCTCGCATAAACACTAAACTTACAAGGCGAGACTGCCAACTAAAAACTGCCGTGTGATTGGCTGGAGTAGCGGTTGAGGTAAGAAAAGATGAAAGATGGTCATCTCTTGCCGCTACGTTCTTGCCTCTACTTCCCTTACCTCTGACAACTATAAATTTTTTCATATAATATTCAATGTCCAACTTGGCTACCTCTACCGCTGCCTCTACCGTTACCTTTAGAACTATAAATACCGTACGGAAATCTATAAACAGCACTACGGTATTGTTGATATTTTACGGGAGAAGGAAGGAAATCTATAAATCATGCATTATGCTTAATTAAATTAATTAATCAGGATAGAATTAAGTTAATTTTGTCCAGATACTTGGATTAAAAATTATGTTACAATTATCGAATATGTTACATATAATTTTCAAGCTTTGTTTTTAGAAAAAATT